TATGCCATCAGTTGTCCCACCATAGTGTGTGTTTGTTTCTAATCTCTGTTTCCTGGTATATATAGGTGTGGAATCAAAAGTACTGATGCCTCAATGAATGAATACTGCCATAGGTGCCAAAGAGGGCCACCATCTATATGACTAACATTCCAGACAACCTTAAGCAGGGACTACTATCACCCTATCACCAGATACATAACATAAAGGAGAAATTATGCTTATTTTGAGAAGTTTTCCAAGTACTATAGGTAGGACAGACTGACAGCCTTTCCTCTTGGTATTCTGTTATTAAACCCAGTAATTTATTTGGCCACTTCGTCTGCTTGCAACACAGCTAACATCAAGAGGCTACGAAGAAAAGCCTGTTGTAACAACGGAATTAGGTAACACAAAGCTCAAACATCATCAGAAGAGTAACCCAAGCAGTTGCTCAGATTTTGGTATTTACTTTAGATATAATTCTAAGGGCTTGATTTTATGACTGAAAGGTGTGTGTGTGTGTGTATGTGTGTTGGAGGGGGCACACTTAGCAAAGTGGAGAGTCTTCCTGTATAGTGAAACTAATAAATGTACATGCCAATATCTTTGTGTTTTATAAGTTGTTAAAGGACAGGAAAATAGGAACTTTATCCTGATTTTTTTTTAATCAAAATGGCTAAATTGAAAATTTAAAAGTAACTACTATAAAGATAAGATTCAGGCATTTAAAAATACACTGAAATGGAACATTTAATTTTCTGAGATTACAGAATTACAAGTCATAAGTATGGACAAGATTCACCAATGTACACAGTATGGTGAGAAAACAAATCTAGTGCAAACAACTCTTGAGAAAGTTTCCTGTGGAGAGGAGTGATGTCCCAAGCCTGCCACCTTTCAACTATTGGGAATAAAATCTCTTCATCTACATTCAGTCAGATGCTTTTTAAACTTTGAATCAATTAGTCCTTTTTCTCTTCCTATTTTTCCATTGTAACTGTGGACTCACGCTGTCAAACTTCCCAGGCACACGTTGCCATAGGAGACTCTGTTTGTTGAGGGTGGAGTGGCTGTTTTTGGCAGGTTGGGGGAGGAGCAATCAATTCCAATAGGTATATAGTAAATCAAACACTTGGGTCTTTCCAACATTTTCTCTGTATTTCTGCTCCTTTTTATAAATTCCTTTTTCTTACCAGATGATCCCTTAAGTGCGAAGGAGAAGGAGCTTTTAGAAATCATGTATGAGCTATAGCAATTGAAGTCCAGTGGGACTTAGGGAAGGCCACCCAGATTCTTGTTGCTCTTTTCAATATACCTTCCCTAATGTTCCTGAGATGATAAGCCATCATAGGTGAAGCCTTTGAGAAGAAAAATTCCCCAGGATTCTTTACTAACACATTCAAATGTTTAGGTTGTTCTTATGAAAAGGAAGATTATCTTTGGATCTACCATTAATACTCCATTATGAAGACCATACTTGTATCTGTAGGAAAAGTATTTTGGGTGCTCTTTGGATTTTTATAGATAATTATATGGAAAAGAAAATAGAAACAGATTACGTTTTGCCAATGAGTCACTCAGGGTTGTAGGAAGAGTAACAGATGTAGTGTTAGATGAGTGAAATATACTCCAAACACTTGAAAATGAAATAGAAAACTAGAGAATTGCAGTAGATGTATCCGATCCTCTCAGGAGAATCCAACAGCATCCATAGATGTTAAGGATGTGCTTGTATTTTGAGTCTTATTATTTGGCTGCAATTTTGGACCCGAGTCCTGATTATACAGTTATTCTGATTTCTTTTAAGCCTGAGTAACTGGCTCTACTGTTGAAGACAAATGCTTGTCTCAGAATCTTTGTCTTTTATCCCACAGAGTACTGTGTTGAAAACAGAATTCATTTTCACTTCCTGCTCTCAACTGACAATTCTGTGCAGCTGTGTGACAGCTGTTATATTCCACCCATAAGTAGCAGCTTTTCACTGGTTGGCAAACTGGTATAGATCTGGAATGATGTTTGAGTGACCTCAGGACCCCATAGAATAAATCAAAACATTGAAGTAATAACTTGGATGAGCTTGTTCTGACGTAAATCAATTGCTAAAAATTATTTCATGGCTATTTTTCAGTTGAGTGATCTATCTCATCAAAGCATAGTGGAAATAACAGAGCCATTCTACTTGACATTTAAGGAGAGTCGGGGGAAGAGAGAGTGATTTGAACATGTAAACTGGAAAGGGGGGGCTCAGGAGTTCTGTTGCCCAAAGTTTGACCACAAGTAATTTCCTGAGGCTTACAGTTGGGCATCAATGTAGGATGGGAAGCAGCCAATGTTATTGAGTAGGTGAACTGGCTGGTGTACCCTCCAGGATGCTATGAGATGGTATTTCCCTCCAGGCATGGTTCTCTGGAGGAACAATGCATTGGGCTGCTGTTTAACTGCTTATTGCTCTTCTTATCATATGTTCATTTTTGGGGTGAAACACTCTATTAACTCTGGTTTTGTTGGGCCCCTTTCCCATTTTGGTTCCTGTTAACTTGCAGCAGTAACAGGAGTGGATAGAAATAGTTTAGCTTTCTGGGCTGTAACCCTGTGTGTAGCTTCTGTGCATGGGGTGGCAGTCCATGTGGGAATATTTTTGTCCTAGTCCTCATGTCCCCAATCCCAGAACCACCGCACTCTGGACAGATACCATTTGAGTCTGTTATTTTTTTTTTAAGAGAGATTTTTTACTATAGGGCACATGCGTTCTTTAGAAACACACAAAGAGACAGAGAGAGAAAGTGAGAAATCACCCAATGGGGAGATTGCTGTGCTACAATCCCTTCTCCTCCATTATCCTCTCAGGATTTTGGGTACAGACACACATGTGTCTGGTGTGAGTTTCAAGCTGCCAGATCTAGGACTCGAACTGCAGTTGGCCATGTGAGAAGCCAGTGCCTTAGCTACTATACCACCTGGTGGTCTCTTTGTCATCATTGCTTTACAGAACTGAGGACTACTACGGTCTTGGGACCAGCAGTTAGCATAATGGCTATGTCGCTGGATTCCCACGTAGTCAACCGTGGTTCGAGTCCCAGACCAGGTGGCTTAAACTCATGCTGGGCATGTGTGCGTGCATGCCCAAGATCCCGAGAGGAGAATGGAGGAGAAGGGATTTTGGCATGGACACCCACCCTGGGGGGGGGGGTGTGATTTCTCACTTTCTGTCTCTATGTCTCCCTCTGTCTGTCTGGCGAGCGCATGCGCCCTATAGCAAAAAGCTCTCCAAAGGGGAAAAAAAAAAAAAAAAAAAAAGAACTGAGGACTACTACGGTCTCTAAGTACCAGTTTTCAGTGCACAAGGTGAAGGGGTACAGGTTATGGTTCTTAACATATGAAAAGGGACCCAAAACCAAGATATGTAAGGTTTAATGCCAACTCTGCCTGACCCTAGCTGTGTGACTGAGAGCAATTATTATCATCTCTATGTATCCCTGTTTCCTCCCTGGCAAAATGAGATTTTAAAGCCAATTATGCTTGATGCAGCTAATGACCAACAGAGTTAAAATGTATGAAACTCTTTTATTCTATAACTTCTTATTTTCAATCCATGATTGTTCAAAGTATGCATGTGATATATGATAATCTAATCAGGTGTGTTATATGCATCAATTTCAACAGAGAACTTTTTTTTAAAGAATTATTTTATTTCTACTTTGCTTATTTATTTATTTATTTATTTATTTATTTAAATTTGATCAGACAGGAACAGAGCAAGAGTGAGAGCAGAGAGCAAGAAAGAGTGAAAGTGAGAAAGCAAGCCGCTAAGCCCAGGACTCGAACCACAGTCAGCCCTGTGGGAGGCTAGTGCCCTTAGCCACCATGCCACCTGCTGGCCCCTTCGACAGAGAACTTTACGTTCTCCTGTTTTTTAAATGTTTCTTTTCTGAGCCCTTTTTCCACGCACCTTTTACTATCTCCCTTCCCTACTGTCTGTGGTATCTATACTTATTCTTCCTATTATCCTATCTAAGTATCTTTCAATTTCTGCCAGAAAGTGCAGACATTTTAATATGTATCAAGTGGGGGATATACAGTGTTTGTCTTTCACAGTATGGCTTACTTTGCTTAGCATTAAATCTATATTAACCTACTTTGAATCAAATCATAGGATCTCATTGTTTCTTATGGTCAAGCAGTATTCCATAGTGTATATGTACCACAGTTTTTCTAATCTATTTATCAGTTATTAGCCATGTAGCTTGACCATATGTCTTAGCAATTGTGAATAATGCTGCAATAAATATGGATGTGCAAGTGTCTTTCCAATTGAGTGTTATTCTGCCCTTTGGGTAAATACTAAAGAGTGGAATTACTGGGTCATATGGTAATTCTATTTGTAGATTTTTGAGGAACCTCCATAATGGCTTTCCACAGAAAGCCATTTTTGTACTAATTTTTTTGTACTAATTTTTATTCCCACTAACAGTATAAAAATGTTCCCTTTTCACCACAGCTTCACCAGCACTTGTTGTTCCATATTTCTTTTTCATCTTAGCCATTCTGATTGGGGTTAAATGTTATCTCATTGTACTTTTGATTTTCATTTTCCTTATTATAAGAGATGCTGGACATTTTTTCATATGTATTTTGTTCATACAGGTATCTTCCTTAAGGAGTTAATTGCATTTGCTAATGTTTTAATTGTATTATTTTCTTTTATAACCTATATAATATAAAAGCCAATTACTACAAGAAGATAAAAAATTTGACCAAGGAATTTAAACAACCTTCTGGAACCTTGAGTAAGCCAGGAGCAGGTGTTGCAAGTGAAATTTGACAGTTTTTTGTGCCCAAAGTTCTTACGTGGAGATTTGTCAACTTTTTGAGAACATGAGATCATTTTACATCATGTTCCTTAGATGGTCTCCCATGATGTCTCTGGAGTTGTATGGATTATGTTGGAGTAGGGCTGCATGGGAGAATAGGGTGAGGCTTAGTGAACTGGCCTGCAGTACTGACCTTCTACCTCCTTACAGCCTTTTCAAGCAGATGGTTGGTGTGACACTATCAACAACCGGGCCTACTGCCACTATGATGGGGGAGACTGCTGCTCTTCCACACTCTCCTCCAAGAAGGTAGGTGAGGGCACCTGGGAAAGGGTGTAGGGGTGAAGGGGACATGACTCGGGCTCTTTGATTAGTTGTCCTTCATGCTATATCATAATTGTATTCTCTTTTTAAGTTGGTTTATTTTATGTCTTTCATGAGAGAGTGAGAAAGAGAGAAGGGCATTCATGGTAGGGTCTTATCACAGCACTTCCCTTATCTCAGTCTTTCAGTCAGCCAGGATCACAGCCACATGCATGAGTACCCATCATATCTTGGGTGGAATTGGGATCCAACTACAATTGGCCATGTGGCATCAGCACTGCAGAGTGACACCACTCTCTGTGCCACTGTGACTAGGTCAGTTTTTATTCAACAGCCAAGAGATAATTTTATGAGAAAATATTGGTGTTTCTAAAATTACGAGTAATAGCATTTACCATGGGTTCCTACAAACATTTATTCTCTTATTGTCAGTATAGTGACCCTTTCAGAAAAGTCCTGGATTTTGCTACTGAAAAACTCAGACCTGCTTGTCATTATCCAGGGAATTTCTCTGTAAGCAGAATAAACAATAGTCTCTACCCCTTGGGGAGGCAGGATCACCAATGAAGTGCCACCAAGTTGAATTCATCTTCACAATTAAATTGATAATCATACATATTGTCTTGTAAGAATGTTGCAGGCACATGTTGACTGGCTGCCATAACCCACCAAAGCATTGTATCCTTTTCTTGATGTCCTTTAACTCTTTTGAGTCTGTTAAGTTTACAGATAGGTTAAAGCTTGGCCTGTAAAATTGAATAAGCTAAAATTCTGTAATTGTATGAGTGAAAACACAAGAGGTCCAAAGATGTTTGAAACTAGTTGACCAAGTTAACGAATCAGAAATACGCAAGAGATTGCATTTCTTTCCTTGTAAGTGTTCTGCAGAACCACACCTGCCATGATCACTTACATGTAGACCCAAATACTATATCTCTTAAATACTGTATCTTTTACTCATCTTGTATCTGACCATTCACTTGGTGTCAGGTGCTATTCTCACCACTTAAGGAAATTAACTTATTTAATGCAGTATCCAAGGGCTCATCATCTCTCTATTTATTCTGGCTCTCTTTTGGTCTATACCCAATAAATTTTGAACCAAGAGAAACAGATCAAGAGCTTAAACCACAGTTCAGAAATCAGGCCAGCAAATGAGGATAGCAGATCAAGGAACCTGCAGAAACAAATGATTGCTTGGGAAGAAAGCAAGCAACTCTCTCCCAATTTCACACTGTGCAAAGCTAGGATTTGTTTTTAATGCATTTTAGTGCCTGTGGCTAGCATACACAAGAATCCGAATTGAAAAGGCACTTCACTCCTCTGTTGACTCCTAAATCACATTTTACTTCATATGTGCAAATATGCTGGGAAATTTCCCCAAACAACTCCACCCTTTCTCCAGCCCACTTGCCCAATCACCAAGCTCACCTCTTCTCCGTGCTTAGACTAGTATTAGTGTGATATGCCTATTTATTTTTCATCTCATTTGATTGTCAATGCCCAATGGGAACAATCTTTGCCACTTTGACATCATATAGGCCAAACGGGAAGAAAGTAACTCCTGCTTAACCATCTCTGACATGGGGATGTAATAATTACCTAGAAAGAAGGGAAACAGTGGGTAGAGAAAGACCATATTTAACCAAGCCAAAGTATATTCTGGGTTCAAGAAAAGCAAAAGCTCATGCTTATGAAGAAAATCCTGTTGCTTCAAGAACACTGACGAGTGGGAGTCAGAGAGCTAGTCTGCAGAGTCTTGGATGTCCAGTGTCATTACCATGGATTAGGTCATTAAACCTCTTTTGACTTTCCCTATAAAGAGAAAATGCTAACATTCATTTTTCCTACTTTACAGGGATTATGTGAAAATGGTAACAGCAACAAAAACAATAACAACAATTGTAGATATTGCTGGTAATATTAGAAGTAGTCCCAACAATAGCCATAGAGTTTTGGCAATGGTTTAGACCCATCATCTTCCTTAAACCACACCAACACCTCTTGTGTCATCTCTGTTGTCCTCCTCACTTTATATAGGAAGAAAGTGAAGCAAGGCAGATTAACCTTGCCTAAGGCAACAGGGAGTGTGAGAAAAGTGAGTGTTAATTTCAAGTCTGTGATATTAACACATAATCCCACACTTCCTCCAGGACCAAGGCAGGAAAGTGAAAGCTGGTTGAAAAGTTTGGAGCTCTGCACAAAAATAGGTTATTTCAACTTCTCTCTCATTCCCCTAGGTCATTCCATTTGCTGCTGACTGTGATCTGGATGAATGCACCTGCCGAGACCCCAAGGCAGAAGAAAATCAGTAACTGTAAGACCACGCCCCTCCCTCCACTGCCCTGGAGGCAGCAAGAGAGGCCAACACAGAAATAAACAAAGGGTGACTGAAGACAGAAGGTCATGAAGTAGAGGAAGGAGGAAGAGCATGAAGGATACCATAAGTAACAACAGAGGATATTTATAGGTGCAAGTAGCACACCAAGTAGCCCATATAGGGAAAAATCACAGGCAAAAGTTTCTTTAAAGGGGTAGTTGATTAAAAGTGGAAGGAGAAATATACTAGATATACAAGAACTGTCCTCCCCCTTTTATATTCTACTCAACCCCATCTTCAACTTTGCCCTACTCCCCCCCTCTGCATCCTGCCAACTATTCAACCCCACCCAACTTGTAAACCAAAACCAAAATACCAGAAGAGAAGTTGCCAGGGACACTCTGTTAATACCCATTTCGAATGAATTGCCATCTTTCAGGGCTCGTCTCCTCTAAACTGGCTCTTTTCCTTTCTTTTGTGTAGTCTCTCTTAAATAATGAGGTTAGTTATTAATTCTTTATAAGTATTTAAACATAATTATATAAATATATTATATATATTATATTTTTTGCTGTTTACTAAGCTAAAAATTATCCATTGTTCCACACATGCTGCTGTGAAGTTCACATCTAAAATGAGTACTGAAGCTTTCAGGACAGAAAGACAAGTTCTTCTGCCATCTTTCTGTTGATGGGGATTGGCAGGCTGAATGGGAAGTGAAAGAGAGGGACATTAAAAGCAGTTCTGTGGCTAGCATGTCAGCTAATAATCTTTTTGTGACCTAGGCGCTCGGCCCATTTCAATGAGACAAGAGTTTGGAATGATAATACCTTAGCATGGAAAATTGGGTGTGATTTCCACTGAAGATGAGTCCAGGACAACTAGACAATGGGTCTTCAGTATCTATCCAAAAAGAATATATTAACTTTTCTCCACTTCTCAGAACTCTCAACTGGAGCTAGTGAGACCAGAATTTTCTCTACTTCCATATAGTCTAGTTCTAAATGTGGCTTTCAGCCAGTCAGTCAACACCTTTGTTTTAGGTCTCACTCACTGTCTGATCAGAAGTATAGGAACTCACATACGCCTTATACTTGGCCTGGTCTCACATCCTTGTTAGAGGTCCCCATGTTTGGCAGTATTTGCAGACACGTGACCAATTGTTAATTTTCTAGAGGGGAAATGTTATGGAAATGATATAGGGGAAAGGTGAGAAGATGAAAGAATAGGCAGGGATAGAGCCATGGGAAGCCTTGGAGAGGCGTGAGGTCAGGGTTAAGTCAGGGCTGAGGGCAAAACAATGCAATGTGTCAAAGAGACTCACTTCTTATTCCCAGTCTCCAAAGAAGACCGAAGTGGATCCTGTGAGCAATGCAAAACCTAAGACAAATTCTTAAAGCACAATTAAAAACAAAATGTGACCTAGAGATTTCAGCTTGATCAAGTTATGGAAACACGTGGAGCGAGGGTGACACTCTGTGGGGAGAAAGAAGAATTTCATCTATGCAGAGTCCATTTTGTTGTCTTTACCCTGTCTTGTTCAAAAGGTGGACTGCATGTGAATGACCACATTAACCCAGCCTCTGTTTACATCCCAAATTCACTTTTTTTTCTGCCGGTGGTCTACTGATTGCTGTTACACTTTCTCATATTGGTTTCTGAGTCAGGCCTTGGGGGTAAAAAGTATAGAGCCAATTTTTGTTCAATACTCCAGTGTTATCCTCTTAGGTTATGAGGCTTATTTCTCTCAAAGTTTCTTTTCCAATGAAAACCAAGGATAGGCAAAATTCAGAGCTTAGCCTTGGTCTCGTTATTGCCTGCTCTTATGCTCTGACCAGAACTTTTATCCTCTTCCTATCAATACTGAAGCAACAGTTTTGCACATGGAAAGAGGAAATATTAACTGCCACTACCAAAATATCACACGCACACACACACACACACACACACACACACAATCATGCAGGAAAGAACAATATTCTGCAATAGGAAAAACAAGAATAAGGCTATAAACTCAAGTTTATTTGTAGGTGTGTAAACAAGGGTGGCAAAGTCAATGGAAGAAGAGAAGCATTCTCCCATCCAAAACATCCTCCAGTTCTCTAATTCTAGCCATCTGCAAAAGTATATCCTAGAAACCAGTCATTGCCTGATGTCATACTTAGTGGTCCCCAGGAAGACAATAACTATTCGTTGGGATCCTGATAGGCTTCAGTATGAAAGAGCAATGAAATAGTTTAGATTCCCTATTAAAAACACACACAAAAGTTGTAAAATTGTTTTCTTGAGGAAAATATCCAAATTCCTGGAATTATGTCAAGGTTTGCCTGGGGACCTCCTGCCTTGTCTGAAACTGAAGCAGAGGTGCAGAGCTGGGTATCTCCCAGCTCAGAAAGGCTGAAGCTCTCACAAGAGCATGTAGCCTCTGGCTTACCCCAGAGTGGTCTCTGTTTAGCCTCCACACATGAGTAATGGGGAGAACACTTCCATTTCAGACTTCATTTTAAAATACTTTATTCTCTGTTGACAGCATTTGCACTTGAGCACCGCCCTGGGACAGTGAGAGAACAGTTCCTGTCGTGGGTGAAAGTCCCTCTGGCTAAAGGCTGTCCAGCCATAGTCATTTATAGTCATTCAGAGATGGCTGCTTCTTCTAGTCTTGTCCTAGGGCCTAGTAGGTCAAGCAACTCAGATCATGGATAAAGTTGAAGCACTATGACATGATGGCCACAGAAGCCAGGGACATCAACTTACACTCATTTCACATGGCGATCTGCCTTCTGCTGCTCTTCCCCACCCATGAGGTCATTGAGGGCCTCTCCCTGAGGCCCTTTTGTCTGTTTTTATTTTCATTTGTTCCGAAATCATTTTTCTGCTTCCCTTTTTCTTATTAACTGGCTCTGGTGCCCAGGTTGTCTAGGTCGGGCTGACTCACATGACTAGTGTGACAGCCCCCATCATAGAGACACAGATGAAAGGATGGGCAGAAGCTGACAGAAAATGAAAGCAGAGTCTCCTCTAGTCTCTCTCTTTCCTCCATCACCAGGCATTGGACTCGGCACTTCCTCTGTTCTGCGTGAACACTATTGAGTGTGTCGGCGCCCAGGGAGACGGCTTGATTGGGAACACAGTGAAAGGAGCTGATCTACTGTATGTAACGTAAAACAGCTACAGCCAGTTATTTTGTAAGATTATAAGATGTTCATTAAAAAATCAGCACACAAAATGTGAAGTGTCTCTGGTGTCTCATTCTTTGTTTAAATCATTTTATCACTTCTGAATCACTTTCCATTGGTTTGCATCAGGTCCAGGCATCAGTCACTGGTTAATTGACTGATTATTCCTTTCAGTCATTTAAGAAATATTTTGAGGGAAGGAAGATGTGTAAGGAAGATAAGCATACAAGTTCATCAAAAAAGATGACATTTTACAAAAATAGATATGCAGTCAAGGGTCTCCTGAGTTGTGAAATACAATGCAAGAATCATTTGTAGTTCAGAGGAAGTATGCATTACCTTTAGATGCCAAAGAAAGGTAGTTTTTGAAAGATGGTTGATGAAGGATACACGAATGGGTAGGCAGAAATAAGGGGTGGAGGGGCGAGAGTAAAGAACAGTATTGAAAGTGTGGAGGTAGGAATAGAAAGGTTGCCATTGCTGAACTTGAGAGAGGCATCCAGCTTAGCTGGAACATAGAACTAAGCTAACCTTTACCATGCATTTGGTAAATGCAAGTGTATTTAATCTTTACAACAGATCTGAGAATACCAGGCTCCAGTCTGATAAAGTTCCTCAAGCTCATATGGCTGGAATTAGGTTCAAGTCTGGTTGGGCGGACACCAAGATGAAAGAAGGAAAAGAACAATTATAATAAATAGGATGAGGAGGGGTGGGGAGAAATGTCAAGGATGACATCTCTGCATTAAGCCTATGTAACCTGTAAAGATTATCATCTGAGAGAGAAAGAGAACTGGGATGAGCAAACTTTTAAAGAAAGAGTATATATTGGGTTGTCAGAAAAGTTATGAAGCATTTTTGCATAGAAAAACAAAAAATAACACCATGACTTTTCCAACAACATAATAGTTCCTTTTCATTTTTTTTCAAGTTTTTTAATTCATGAAAGAGAGAGAGAGACAAGTACTTTCCACATGATCTTGTCACACCTCAATCCTCTCCTCAGCCTCCTAGCTAGCCAGGATTATGAGTATGTATAGGCCCACCCGCATGCTGTGGTTGACCATGGATCCAAACCTGGGCCTCCCATTTGGCCCCACCATCAGGTGGCAGTGCCCTGCCATATATGCACTTCTATAGCAGCTGGGCCTATAATTTCCTTTTTTTGCCCCTTAAACTCAGTTTGAGGGTCAGATCCGCATATAAAGCAGCATTCGACATCCTGGAGGAGGTTTCTGTACCTAGGCTAGCTTGCCAAGTTTTCTGCCCATGTCAGACACCGCCTGTTACTTAAAGGACTGAGTGGGTATCTCAGCACACCTATGAGCCTTGCAAAGACCTGTGGAACAGACCATTGAATGTGAGCTTAGAACTTGGGAGAGTGTTTGGCGATTTGAAATAAACATTGGAGAATGAGAAGACTATTATCAGGCATTTTCTTTATGGTTTACTAAGTGCTTTCATGTGCTTTACGGCTACTTATTTTTATTCTGTGTTTTTCATTCCACAAATGAAGAAACTTAGTATCATAGACCTTATTAGAAAATCTGTGTTCTCATCTCTTGAGTATGGATTGGAGTACAGAATGTGTGTCCTACATGATGTCAGCCCACCCGACCTGTGTGTGAACCCAGGCCCAGTTGCCATGGGAAAATATAATGTCTTTTATCCGTTTATGTTTCAAGGTGCTCATTGGTTTTCTTGTGGCTTTCTTAGTAGCTGAGTCTATTTTCTTTCCTGCCTGTTGTCCATGGCAAATGGTAGGAAAACTGAGGGCAAACCCTCTTCAGCACACATCCAGGGCCTCTCCTCATGCCAAACCTTGAGTATAAGCAGATGCCCTTGCACATGCCAGTTAGGCCAGCTGGACAGAAACATCTGGCAAGGCTACCTTCTCCTTAATAGCTTCCCCAGGGAGAATCCTGGACAGAGACTTTGGAGCTCTGGTTTCCATTGACTGACAAATGACATGATGAGTCATCCGTCAACTGGGAGACCATGACTCTCTTAGATTCAGGCTGTCCAGATGGTGAGAGGGGCTCAGAGTGGGGTGGGGAGATGTAATGAGAAGGTTTCACACTTAGAAATAGCTCCAGGGCATTGCTGAAGCTGGCTTTCATTTTTTGTTTGTTGGTTTTTTTTTTTTTTTCTTGCTACAGGGCATATACACTAGATGAAGACAGACAGTGAGAGAGAGAAAGTGAGAAAGCATCCCTAATGGGAGATGGCCACGCTGTAATCCCTTCTTTTTCATTCTCCTCTTCAGATTTTGAGCCTGCATGCATACATGCCTGGTGTATTTTTAAAATTTCCAGG